CATCATTACTAGTTTTCTCCTTTTTCCCTTTTCTCCACCTGTTTAAATTCCACTCTTCCTTCAAAGCTTAGATCAAAGGTAGCCTCCTCCATGGACTATACCATAATCATCTAAATTGAGGATTATCATCTTCCTCTGAATTTCTGAACCACTTTCTTGATTCAGCAAACATCTATTAAAGACCTGATGTGTGCTATGAACTATGCTAAGACAAAAATGAATTATACATTTACAGGAGCTTTCAATCTAGAAGAGATAGACATACAAATAATTATTAGAAAGACTCAGAAGCATGAAACACTGTGGCTGTAGAATTGGGTCTAATGAGGAGATGAAGCTGCAGATGCAGTCATGAGGGACTAGATAATGGAGAACACTTGTGTGTCGGGCATATGGACATTATCTTGTAGATAATAGGGAACCACTGATGAGTTTTTAAGTAGAAGAGTAGAATGTCCAGATTCCTAGTTTAGAATAAGTCTGGTGGAAGAATGGAATTTACATCATCTATGTCGAAAGCTATTGTAATTGGAGGGAGGGTATAGCTCAGTGGTAGAGTAAATGCTTAGCATGCACAAGGTCCTGGGTTCAATCCCCAGTACCTCCATTAAAATAAATAAATAAATAAACCTAATTACCTCCCACTACCAAAAACATTTTTTTAAAAAAAGGTATTGTAATGTTTCAACAAGATATGTTGAGGTCCTGACCTACGGCATTAGCAGTAGGATGAATTTGAGGAATACTAAGAGGTAGATTTGTAGGCTTGGATAATTTTAATGCAAACAAAAGCATCAAAAGCCTACATATTCTCAAAAGAGAATTCAAGATAAAGAAAATAATGATTCTAAACTTTCTGATTTCAGTGACCAGTGAATGTTAGCTTAGCATACAGCATTCAAGAGGATTGGCAGGTTTCTTGGTAATCTTGACTTTTGGTCTTTGTCAATAACATAATAAAACTACAGTCAGAGAAACCCATTTATCTCCATAATGTTGGCCCTTTGATTCAGTCCTTGAGATCTTTACTTGGATATCTAATAGGCATCTAAAACTCAGATCCAGGTCTGAATTCTTGAATATTTCTCCCCAAGCTTGTTCTTCCCATTGTCTTCATTTTCCTCAATAGTATATGACATCTCCATTCTTTCAGTGGCTTAGGCTAAAAACATTGGATTCATTCTCACTCCTCTCTTTCATAACCCACAGCCAATCCTAATTCTAATTGGCTCTATTTTTTCAAAATATATACCACTTCTCATCACATCCAATGCTATGTTCTATTGCAAGTCACCATCTTCCCTTGCACTCTCTTAGCCTTTTCTATATATACATTTTAAAAATATGTCAGGATGTACTTAATGCCACTAAATTGTACACGTGATATGACAAATTTTATGTTTACCACACACACAAAAGTTTAAAAAGTCAAACCATGTCTAAAACTCTTCAGTGGCTTTTCTCTTCCTGAGTAAAGCTAAAGCCTGTAAGATTTTACATAATCTGTCTCTCCCCGACTCCCACCACATCCCCAGCATCTGAGAACTCACCTCTTACCATTTTATCCCTTCTGTCTCCACTGCAGCGACAGTGGCCTTCTCAGACTCAAGTATCAGACAGCCTCAGAGTATTTGTATGTGCTGCACTCTCCATCTGAAGCACACATCCCCCCTAAATTTCCACAGGGTAAGCTTAATCGTTTTCTTCAGGTCTCTTCACTGAGCAGCCTATGTATAAAATATTACTTCCTTTCTGTGCCCTGTCACTCTGTTCTTCATATTCTCCTTTATAGTCCTATAGTTCTTCATGTCACTCATCGCCCTCTCAATTATATTTATTGGACTTCTGTTTAATGTCTGTCCCTTATTAGAATGTAAGTTCCTATGGAAAAAAAATACAATAGAAGCTCCCATTATATTTTTAACCACTTAGCAAAGTGCTTGGCACATGGAAGGTACTCAATAAATATTTGGTGAATAAAGTAATAATGAATGATGATTATTACTGTTTTTTTTAAATACATAAACAGTAGAATAATTGCTAATTAAGTAAATATAATGATGTACCACCTAGATTAGGTTTCTGGAGTTATCTATCAATAGGTCACTTTATTTTCTATTTTTGACCATATTTATTTTTGTTTTCAATGAATTTCTTTTGAAAATTTCATTTACTCATTATATTCATTTGACATCTTTTGTGAGTACAGCCTGTTATTCTGCAGTTAAATGAAGAATAAAGTTGCATTTCAGAATCTCTAAAATTAATATTCAGATCTTTTCTCTTGAATATAAAAACATATTTGAGATAATGTGAATTTCTATTGCCAAAAGCTGAACTAAAGCACTGAAACTTTATATATATATTTGACCTTTGAACAACGCAAGGTTTAGAGGCACTGATCCTACATGCTGTCAAAAATCCGAGTAACTTATAGTTGGCCCTCCTTATCCATGGTTCCAATGTATTTGGGGTTCTTCATCTTCGGATTCAACCAACCACAGATCATGGAGTACTGTAGTGTTTACTATTGAAAATAAATCCGTGCATAGTGGACCCACACAGTTCAATTGTTGTTCAAGGGTCAACTCTTTGTCTAAGTATATGTATGTGTATAAAATACAGCTAGATTCCTTTATTATCAGTATTGCCAACTACAAGACATGCCATTATGATTTTTATGTAGTCAAGTACTATGAAAAATTGTGTAGTAATAAATGTGCCTTTTTGAGAGGAGTAAAATGACAGTCATTAGTACAATATTACAAAACAATGAGATACTTTAACTGGGTAATTGCTTTCCCAAAGTGTGTCATTTCACCACGGTAAGAAAAGAAAACTTATGCTTTATTTAAACAAAACTCAGTCTGATTCTCTTTCCCCCATCACAGGTAGCTTTGGATATGCTGAATCCTCAAGTTGCTTTGCCTGTTTTATATCCAAATCTTAAACAAGGTGGTATATGTGCTGTATATCTAGCAAAGTGAGTAATGTGGCTGTTCTTCATAATAATGTTATTTTTTATATAAATGTCTTTTGTTTTGTTTTGTGGGGGGAGGTAATTAGGTTTATTTGTTTATTATTGTTATTTTTTATTTAACTGACGTTCTGGGGATTGAACCCATGACCTCATGCATGCTAGGCATTCGCTCTACCACTGAGCTATACCCTCTCCCTTATAATGTTATTTTAAACACACTTTTATTTTGTTTTAAGTACTAGACTAAAATGTTCATTTTGTAACTGAGTTAAGTGTATATGTCATCTTGTAAAACTGTTACACAATAGCATATGTCCCAAATTCAGTTACACTGCTGTAATCATCCTTTACATAAATGGTAATATAAGATGCATATTTCTTTTGAAAATTTAGAAGAAAAGCTTTTTAAAGTGTAATGTGAACAATGATGTTAAATTATAGTCTCTGTATTTTTTTACTTAGTATTCTGTAAAATTGCTTCTTATGTGCCCTAACTTGCATTTTTACTCCCCCTCTCCTTGATTTAAGAATAGCATTTAAATTGGGGTAAGAGCTGTAGTAAATTTTAAAAAGTATATAAAGTTATTGTTCTGGTAGAAGTTTTAAGTACATTTTTCACTCTTCTGAAAGCATCACACAGGTCATTGAAATTTTAGACGAAATTCGAATCTGTGAACTTGCCCTCTCATGTGAAAAGATAAGTGAAGTTATTGTCAGAGATTGGTTGGTTTGCCTTGCAAAACAGAAAAATGGAATTTTACCTCAAAAAGTGAAACCTAAGATCAACACAGATTTACAATTACATTCTCAAAAGAAAATTAGAATTGAAGGTGAGATGTTTCAAGAGGATGACCATGGTAAGCTTCGGTTTTATTTTACACATGTGTTTGCAATAATAAATGGAGACTACATTCCTGAATATATTAGGCAATACATTATAAAAGTATTTCTCAAGCATTTATTATTTTTCTTATAGAAATTGAAATGTATTTATTCTGTTAAATTAAAATCTGACAGGAATAATAACTTTTCTTGCCTTTTATATAAAACTGATACCTTTGAAGAACTGAACTTACAATATTCATATTTTACTTATGATAAGGGGATTGGCTTATGAAATACTTTAAATATACTAAAAAATGTTTTAAATATAGATTACTGATTATCACTGAAGAGAAAGAATTAAATAGGACCTGATATGCAAGTAACTAATATTCCAAAAAGCAACTTCTGAGATGCTGCTGGAAGTTTTCAAAGAACTAAATTTAGGTCCTTGTTGTATGTACACATTGTTTAGGCCACTAACAAGTTTTCAACATCTGCTGATTTATGATATGAGCTTATACATTTGCTTATAGAATCATATATAAGTTTATCATGTAATCTTTGATAAATTGTTTCTGTAACGTAACTGTCAGAGTAGCTCCAAAACATGTTAAAAAAAAAAGCCTGAGAGAAAAAACTTACAGGAAAGGGATAGTAATTTGAATTTTAACACTTTTGTGAACAAACTATAAAATATTTTGTGTAGCTTATAATACATATTTTGTTCTGTAACAGAAGAATCACATTCTGATTTTCCCTATGGATCATTTCCCTACATTGCTAGACCTGTGCACTGGCAAACTGGTCATACAGGTAAGTAATGGTTTCAGGTTATACTGTATGGTGTCTTCTCATTACTGCAATGACCTTACTATTTTCTCCCCTACAATTAGCTTTTCTTGTCAAGTTGAGGAAGTGCAAACCACAGCTTAACTGAGTACACCAGATGAGAACAACTGATTTGAAGGTGGAAAAGCATCAAAATAGAACTTTATATTGCAAATCACTACTTTCATAAATTGGTATGTTTAGCTATGATTTGTATAATTTTTATGTGTAATTCTGAAAAGTAATGAAAGCTAAAGAAAGACATGTAACATTTCAAAACTGCTTAAATGTCCCATTTTGACACTTGTCTTGCAGTTAGTTTGACATTTTGTAGTTAATGATTCCAGGTTGGTTTAGTTGAGCCATCTCATTCTTCACTTCCTGTAAACCACTCCATAGATTTGTCTTTCTTCATGAAATTAGTTTTCTTTTCTTTGTTTGATTGCTGGTCATTGGCTACCAAAATAAAATATGCATTTTAAGGTAAATTTTATGTATCTTTGTATTTTAAATATGTATTTTAATGGCTTGTGTGTATCTTAAAAATAATGAATCTGGGTTATAGTAAATAATAGGGGGAAAACTGATAAAAATGGTATAACCTTAAAAATTATAACGAAAGATGTAACAATTCTTGAATCTTTTTTAGCCTTCTCAGAATCATTTTAACCAGTTTGAAAGAACATCAGAATTATTCTGTTGTTATATAAATCAAATGTTTGAAGAGATACACTGTATAAATATGAATTAATTAGGACTAGGGCTTATTTTTATTCATAGGTACCAATTACTTAACACTTACCATGTGCCTTACATTGTTTTAAGAACCTTATAATGTCTTTTCATTTAATATGTATAGCTTATCCTTAAGGTTATCTATATTTTACAGATAAATAAAAGCTTAGAGTTGTTTAAATATAGATGTTTTATAGGTTTTGAAGTAGTAGTGCCTGGGAGGATAAATGGTAGTTATCCTTTAGGCTAAAACTATTTAGAATAGAATATATATATACACACATATACACACATATATTTTAAATAACATTTTACCTAATTTTTATTATGTGGAAAATTTTAATCTAAAATCTCTGCCTTTTTAGACTGTAGTCTGTGGTAGGGGCCAGACATTAAATAATCATACAAATACAAAACTAAGACTGTTATAAATGCTACAGAGAAGTACAGGGTACTATAATAGGGGTTTTGCTCTGGTCAAGTAATTACCTGTGCCAGTAACAATTGAGTTGAGACCCGACCGGTAGGTAAAAGTTTATTACAGCAGGGAAAATGAGAACAAAAAAGGCCATTGAAGTGAGGGTTCACTCAAAGAGACTGGAAAGATAGGCAGGGGTCCAGCCATGTGGGATCCTGTAAACCTGCTAAGGAGTTTGTCTATCCTAAGAAAAATGGGGTGCTATTGAAAGTATTTAATACAGTAGTGGGTAACATGCTTAGATCTGTGTTTTGGAAAAAAAAAATCACTCTGGTTGCATTCGGAGAACTGATTGAATCATAAGCAGAGTGGTCTTCTGGTGCCATTTCTGTGTAAGTATCTGAACACTCGTACACTAAAAGCTTTAAAGTTTTCATAACATTTCCAGATATATAGAAGCCCTGGTGTACATTTTTAAATTCCATCATGGAATATTCCCTTTCTTCTGCCCTTCTATTTAACTACTAGTGAAATTGTATCCTTCATTTATTGTTTTAAGTGTAGGCCCTAACTGTACTTCCTGGAGAAGGCGCTGGCTTAAGAGCAAAGAAAAGTTGTGCTTTCTCCTATTTCATTTAATATAGTTTCTGTTAAGTACACTGTGCTCAACAGATGTTGAATTGAACAAGACCTAACAGTGTCCATTCTAATATTGAGTTGAAAACCAAACTACATAAGCAAATAAGCATTTATTTATATAGTTAATAAAGTCCAGCTTAAGCCCTTTATCCATCTCTCCATTGTACACTGCATTGTGGGTCTTCTAAAGTTAGCTTTCTGTGTTCATGTCTGGCTCTCATTTACCATAATATAAACTCCTGGAGATCTGTGACTTTCACAAGTGTCTTCCCCATAATTTACAGAGGTCCTGACCTTTCCACCCAGTAAATGGTCAATGAAAGTTTACTGATGGCTTGAAACCTACACTGGATCAAGTATTGTTTCATCTGTTGACCTGGTTGTCCTAGGGGGATGTTTAAGTATGTAGCTTGTGGACTGTGGAAGACTGAGCTTTATACTTCAGAGGCAATAGAGAACTTCAAAGTTTCCATGGTCATGTAAAAGGAGACATTTAAAAAAAAAACTTACTCTGTTAGTAGTGTCTGAGCATTTGAAGGAAGAAAAAAACTATTAAATCAGAAATTTCATAGTAATACATAGAGTACAACTATGAGGTGATTGGTAGCAATATACAACTATGAGGTGCAGAAAAGGGGCAAATGTAAAAAAATATTGTGAAGGAAGAGCCAGATAGGCTGGTGGTTCATTGGATATATATAGAGAGAAGCTATATATAGTCAAACTTTTATCCACTGTTCAGAAGCCCTTTCCCTTACTTCTCTGGGCAAAACAGGATTCAGTCAATGCCCAGTTGATAAATTACTTCCTTGGTACAGCCTTCACCAAATCTCTCACCCTTCAGAATTAATTCTGGAACCTATTGTTTCAGGATGACAGAGGGTAGCAACACAGAAAAATTATTGATAATATATATATACTTGACCAGTAAACATTTACTTTCATTTTCCCTCACTAAGCTTAACAAGGGAGTAGGCTAATTGGCGGTGGGAGATTTAAGGGTAACCTCAGGAATGGAATGGTGGTCAGGAATAGTGGTCAGTTGCTTACTGCCTCAGCAGCTTCTAATTCCCAGTAGCAGCATCTGCCAGCAAAGTTTTTTTCCTCCAGTCCACAAAAGGTGGTTGGAATCACCTAAGGTTTGTGGTTGCAGACAACTCAATTTACCATTCTCCAGGAGAGACATGAGCATCCAAAAGACCCGCTTTTTTTTTTTTATTAAGCAAGCTGACTGGCAGAGCCCCTTTCTCCCTGTTTGCTCTGATTTCCTGTTGAAATATCAAAGCCTAAAACATAGAATGTGACTACTCTTGATATCTACAGGGGCTAGTTTGAATAAAATATAAGTGCTTCTGTGTTTTCTATAAATAATCTGTTCAAATTGTGGTGGGAATTCTCTCCCAATTCACTCCATACAAACAACCTTTCATCAGGGACTTTGTTCTTAATGCTTTCACCAATTCCTTAGTCCTTGGTAGTCTGCTAGACTTCTGTGGCAGTCCATTTCCACCACCAAAGGCAGTATTTCATCAAAGGGTGCAGCAGAACATAATAGGAATTCCATCTGTAGCCAAGTCAGACAGACCTGCATTCAAATGTCACTCTATCACCTTGGGCAAATTATTTAACCTCACTAAGCCTTTGTTTCCTTATCTGCAAAGTGGAGACAACAGTAATTACCTTAAGGCTGGCTGTGAATATTAAGTGAAGTTATGAATATAAAATGCTTAACACATTGCATGGACCATTTTAAACATCTAGTAAATCTTACCTATTATAAGGATTAAAGAGTGTAGGCAAAAGGAGCTACTAGGAGAGAGGGGAGGGATGCTAAAAGGCAACTCTTACTTTATAATTTAGACTATGGTAGACCCCACTTACCTTCAAATATGAATAAACAAGTAAAAATGCTTGGAGGTGTTATAAGGGAAGAGACTATACTGTCAGTCAAATTTGTTTAGTGATTACTATGGCCAGGGGATAGAACAATGACTGAGGCATGCCCCTTACCTTCAAGAGTCTTAATAGTCTAGTTTCTTTTTAGTAAAACTTTAGTAGCCACTGCTAATCTCATAAGGATGTGGTAAAAATAAACAGATGAAATTGTGAAATGATGTGAGTCTCATTATAGAATTAGAACCATAAGATATCTATGAGTCCTATATTCAGATGGGTGAAAATCTGGGACAAAGGGTATATAAGAAGTAAAAAGGATCACTGCTGGTAGAATATTATTTTGGTTCTGTTTCAAATTGAGAAATGTCAGAGAAACACTCTACCTTTATAAATACAATTTAAATGAAAATTAAGTGTGACTGACTAAAAGTATTTCCAATTCATATGATTATTTTCAAATTAATATAAGATACCATTGTTCAAAACCACTTAAATTCCAATAAAAAATGAAATATACAAATAAATGGTGGTACTTATACCATGTCATAACTAAAAATCAGGTTTCAAAGACTAAATAATGACAGGGAAATGCTTTATGATAAGTGAAAAAACTAAGTGTAAATATAGTATAGTTCTATTTTTTAAATAGAAATAGGAAAGTGTATATATTACAAAGCTACAGCAATCAAAACATGGTATTGGCATAAAAACAGGCACATAGATCAATGGAACAGAACAGAGAGACCACAAATAAACCCATACATATATGGTTAATTTATGACAAAGGAGCCAAAAAGATACACTTAGGAAAGAATAGTCTCTTCAATAAATGGGGCTGGAAAACTGGACAGATACGTATAAAAGAATGAAACGGAACCACTATCTTAAACCATGCACAAAATCAATTCAAAATGGATTGAAGACTTGAATGTAAGACCTGAAACTACAAAACTCCTAGAAGAAGCAGAGGGGTAAGGTCCTTGACATTGGTCTTGGCAACTGGTTTTTGGATTTCACACTAAAAGCAAAGGCAACAAAAGCAAAAATAAACAGTGAGACTACATCAAATTACAAAGCTGATGTAAAGTAAAAAAAACCATCAACAAAATGTAAAGGCAGCCTACAGAATGGGAGAAAATATTTACAAATCATATATCTGACAAGAAGTTAATACCCAAATATATAAAGAACTCATTCAATTCAATAGAAAAAAATCCAAGTAAAAAAATAGGCAGAGGAGTTTGCAGCAACATTGATGGATCCAGAGATGATCATGCTAAGTAAAGTAAGTCAGATAAAGACAAATATTATCTATCACTTACATGTGGAATGTAAAAAAGATGACACAAACAAACTTACTTACAAAACAGAAACAGACAGACATAGAAAACAAACTTATGGTTACCAAAGCGGTGAGAGGGAGGGATAAATTAGGAGTCCGGGATTAGCAGATACAAACTACTATATACAAAACAGATAAACAACAAGGTCCTACTGTATAGCATAGGGAACTATATTCAACAGCTTATCATAACCTAGAATGAAAAAGAATATATATATATAAAACTAAGTCACTATGCTGTACACCAAAAACTAACACAACTTTGTAAATCAAATATACTTCAATTAAAAAATTTTTTAAATTTTTTGGGTTAAGGAAATGAGTAGACATTTTTCCAAAGAAGACATACAAATGGCTAACAGGTACATGAAAAGGTGTTTAATACCACTAATAAGCAGGGAAATACAAATAAAAACCATAATGAGATACCATCTTACACCTGTTAGAATGGCTGTTAACAAGAAATAGCAAGTGTTGGTGAGGATGTGGAAAAAAGGGAACTTTTATGTACTGTTGGATGCAGACACTATGGAAAACAGTATGGAGCTTCCTCAAAAATTAAAACTAGAACTACCATATTATCCAGTTATTCTACTTGTGGATAATTATCTGAAGGAAACAAAATCACTATTTTGAAAAGATATCTGCACCACAGCATTATTTGCAACAGTTAAGACATAGAATGGAAACAACCTAAGTGTCCATTGACAGATGAATGGATAAAGAAAATAAAGAAAATGTGACTATACACACACACACACACAAACAGTATATTAAAAAAGAAGGAAATCCTAATGGGTAGGGTATAGCTCAAGTGATATGTTTAGCATGCATGAAGTCCTGGGTTCAATATCCAGTACCTCCTCTAAGAATAAATAAACCTAATTACCTACCCGCTCAGAAAAGACAAGACTAAAATAAAAAGGAAATCCTGCCGTTTGTGACAACATGGATAGACCTTGAGGGCATTGTGCTAAGTGAAATAAATCAGACAGAGAAAGACAAATACAGTGTGATCTCACTTATACGTAGAATCTAAAAAGACCCGAACTCATAGCTACACCATCAAATGGTGGTTGCCAGAGGCAGCAAGGAAGGGTGTGGAATGGGTGAAGGTGGTCAAAAGTACAAACTTCCAATAAGATAAATAAGTTCTGGGGATACAACGTACAGCATAGTTACTATAGTTAACAATATTGTATATTTGAGAGTTGCTAAGAGAGTGTATCTTAAAAGTTCTCATCACAAGAAAAAAAGTTGTAACTGTATGTGGTGATGGATGTTAACTAAACTTATTGTGGTAATCATTTTGCAACGTATACATATATCAAATCATTATGTTGCACACCTAAAACTAATAGAATTTTATCCCAATTTTTAAAATTGTAGAAGAAAACCAATAGTTAATCACTGATAGAGCTGGATGGTGAGATTATAAGTAAATTTATTTTCTTGTTAAAACGTCTTTTGAATAAAATAAACATTTCAAAGAAAGTGGTTCAGGCTCTTAAAATACTTGAATCCATGGTGTATTCGGTTTCAATTTAACAAAAGTCACATTAAAAATCTCTTAGTTTAGGTAAGCTACCACAAAACAGATACCAAGACAAAAAGTAGTAACTGAAAAGGGGAAAACTTTCAATACTAATTTAACTCATATTGTTGTAATATATAAATTATTATGTACTCCTGCCTGTAGGGATGATTACAGGCCAAAGGATAACTTGGATTTATTAATAACTTGCATACATCTAATTCTCACATATTGCTAAATCATACCTTGAGAATAGCTATAAGCTTGAGAAGGATCAACTATTATGTCCATTGAGAATGAGTTGTGTGATTCCTGAGAATGTTTCTCCACCACCTCTGCTGTATCACTGGATGAAGACGATGATGAAGACAATCCCAGTCTAACATATCTTCCTTTTTTGCCACAGAGTGAACAATCTACTGGTGTGGCACTAGGTCCCCGGGGCAGTTGAACTTCATCTCTGTTGTAGTTTCTAACAGCTCCACTGTGATGCACAGAGCGTTCTCGTTGCCATATATAATGAGTTGGAGCAATGGCCATAACCTACAGTGAAAAGCTTTCTTTTAGAATTTTTAATAAGATTTTAAAATTTACTTAAATTAAGTAAAAAAATTACAGCTCCAAGACAGCTATCTCTAAAACTAGATCTAAAAATCTGTCACCAGTTTCTTTTTTTTTTTAAAGCATTTCCAGATAAGGCAGTATTACTCATAAAATGCTTTGTTGCTTGGATCCTTAAGATAATAATTGACAAATTTAAATTATTTCAAATAGGAAATAAGTCTGAAGTGTCCTTTCAGGTTTTTCAATTCTGGATATTCTAAGTTTGGGAAAGATTATACAGTTAGCCCAAAACAATACGTAATTCTTAACTTTAGAACATACTGAATTGAAAATAATATTTTAATTGAGGTTTCCAGATATGTATGTTAGGCTAATCTTAAAATGTTTGCAATTACGGCAAGAGAAATGGTGAATAAGAACACAGGTAAGTTGCTTAACTTCTCTCTTCCTCAGTTTTCTCGTCTCTGTAGTATGTTGAGAATAACAGTGTCTATTTTAGAGGGTTGTTGCAAAGATTAGATCAGGAATTACTTATAAGGTACTTAAGATTCCTCACTATATGTGAAATAAATACTGCCATTAGAGTCAGGATAGACTCAGTTTCTTATCCTGGCTCTGCCACTTGCCGGTTTTATGATACTTAACCTTTCTGAGCCTCAGTTTCTTCATATCTAAAACTGGGGATACTATCTGCCTCATAGGATTGTTTTGAAGGTTAGATACATGTAAAAACCAGTAAATACCTGACAAATGATAGCCATTTAAACTAGGGAAATATACCTACATGCTGACCTCATGGTGTCTAAAACTTATAAACTGTTAGAATGTTACTTCTAAGCAAAAATTTTAGTTGCAGTAATCAATGACCCAAGATAAATGAGAGCTGCAGAATTTTAGAGACAGACAGTGCTTTATTAATTGCCCAGACCAGTGACTTTCAAACTGGTTTCACAAACATTAGGGGGTCCCAGGAGGGGCTAAGGAAAGACAGAGCATGTGGAGAACTTCAATTTAGGGGACTGTGTGTAAAATTTTATTTGGGAGGAAAAAAGGCTTTTGTTGTTAAGAATGAAAATCTTAAAACCCCCAGATTAAGACCAGTTCCCCAGAAAATGGGGTTATTGTGCACCCCAAGACAATGCATAAAGAGTATCAGCTATGCTAATTTTTAAAGCGTATTTTAGGATTGAATTTATGTTATTATCTGCTTCGTAAATCCATCAAAAAAGTTTTCAACCAAAGACATGTAATAAAGTTACATATCTTTAAAAAGGTAGAGGTAAATAAAGATGTTATCTCTAAATATAAACATTTCTATGACAATGAAAACTAGATTCAGAGATACCCAAGGTGAGGAAGTAGAATATCAAATTTTCTTATGCCTTGCATATTTATCTACTGTTTTTCTCAACATTTCTATGTCTATTCTATATCTTTATTTTCCATGTTTGGAATCTCCTTTCCCTTTATTTGTATAAGTCCCACCTTCCTAAAAACTCCAGATTTCAGATTTTCTTGTTTATACTATACTAGGACTCAGCATATAAATTTTAGCACTCAGATTTATCTCTTTATGCATGTTACCTGTTCTACTGAAAGCTCCCTCTGGGCAGGAATAGTTTCTCATATGCCTCTTTCAAGTGCTTTCTCCACAATATTATGCAGGCATTAAATATTTCTTAATGATAAAGAGGCCACTGACATTATGAACCTTCAACAACATGATTTTTGTAGGACTTCTATAGCAAAATCTACTGAGAACAGCAGAGGGAAATATGAAGCAAAGAGCACAATATAGATTTGGTACTGTTCTTTCTGCAATAAGCTAGGCATCATAGTCTCTCCAGCTGCTAACCCAGCTACAAAAATGCATGCACACACACTTGTTTACTTTTAAATATATGTTTACATATATTTTATACACACATATATAATTAGAATGTTGTGGTGATAACAATAGTGAACTAAAAAGAAAACCATACCAAGTTCAAAAGAGCAGGACTTTGGACTTAATTCTATTTAGTTCTATGACCTTAGGCGAATTACGTAACTTTCTGAGTCTCAAGGTCTTTTATATGTGAGAAAACAGGTCACTTCCAGTTCTCAAATCCTTTGGCTCTATGAAAGTGACTTCTCTGAAACATTGGTAGCACTTGACCTACTAGAAATGTTATCGTACTCTTCTGTTATTTTTAGAGATTTTTTGGTTGAGCCTTTGGTGGGTGTTTTTTTAAAGTAAATATTTGGCCACCTGTCTCTATATGTACTCTACTTCTGTGATCTGAGGAGGCAGCATAGTATAGGTGTTAAAAGCACTGGCTCTGGAGTCAGACTGCCTACGACTGCTGTGATGCTTTACTAATTGTGTGAGCTTGGAGAAGTCTTTTAGCCTCTTTGTGCCTCAGTTTCCTCCTCTGGGATTACCTAGCTAACTGTAAGAATTGTGAGAGTTTATCTGTATTTTCTGCTCAATTCTGCTGTAAACCTGCAACTACTCTAAAAGAATAGTCTATTTAAAAAAAAGAATTATGAGAGTTAATACATGTGCAGTACCAAGAAAAATGCCTGGCACGTGTTCAAAAAGTATTAACATTACCTTCATCTTGGATCTCTTATCTACTACCAAGCTGTAAACATCACCTAATGACTCATCTTATTCATACCTGTTTGACCAGTCACTTACTACCTTAAATTCATATCTCTAATACCAAATTTCTTATCTTCCCAATAAATCAGTTTGCTTCTTTAATCTTCCCTGTTTCCATTATGGAATTCATTATTCTTTTTGTTACAGTTTTGAAATTCTGACAGCTCACTCTCTCATACGCCCTACATCCAACTGGTCGCCAAGCAATGACAATTATAATTTTGTAATACTGATTTTTCTTCAGCATTGCCATCTTCAACACTAGGTTTACATCTTGCTTCCTGATCTATAGCACGTTAAGCAGATTCCAAAGCCCTTTCCCTTATATTGGGTCTCTTCTGCATGCTGTCATTGGATTATTTTGTTCAAAACACTGCTTATATCACATACTACTGCTTTCTAAATTCCTAATCTGGAATCAAGCAGTAGCTGACAGAGAAAATGGTTATGATGATATAGTGCCAATCAGGCCAGAGAACATAACAAGAACAGAAAAAAAGTTTCCCCTTGATAAAATTGCTACCTTCCATGATGCATAAAGGGACTGGAATTGGAATCTCTTTCTCACTGGATTGGTATCCTCCATAATCTGTGAACAAAGCTTAACCAGAAATTAAGCTATCATCAACCTAAACAAATTCCACCTCAGAGGAGCCAATGTCCAAAAAGGTAAGAAGATAATAAGATTAGAGTAAGTAGGGATTAGTCTTCACCCTTTTCTAGAGAAGCCTCACATATATTTTCCAAGTTAATCATACCTCATCTCTTTCCAGAAAAAGATTTGAAGCAGCTGACAAAAAGAGCAAATGAAATTTTTTTTTATTAAACTAGGACCCAAAAGGGAAAATTTGGCTAAAGGGGGAAAGCAGACATGCCAGTAATAAAAGGTAATAGAGCTGATGTGGTTAAGAATAAAGCCTGGCCCTTAGCTTCTCTGCAGCAGCCAAAGTGTTTTTCTTTTCTTTTTTTTTTTTTAAAGGAGACAGATTACAGAATTCATATTATCTGAAATGAAAGAATAAGTTCTTTATTTGACAGGTGTATAAGGGAAAGAGTGCCCAGTTAAAGTACTGCTTATATCACATAATACTGCTTTCTAAATTCCTAACCTGGAGTCAAGTAGTAGCTGACAGAGAAAACAGTTACGATATTGTGCCATATAGGCCAGAGAACATAACACTTAGTAAGTGACCACAGAAAAGTCATAACCTTTCTAAGCCAAACTTCATCTGAAAAATGGAGAGAATACTTATGTTATTTAGTTCCTGAGATAAAATAATAGATATAAACGCATTTTCTAAACCAACCAATGTGAGAGATATGAACTAACCTAGATGTCAGAAAAAACAGAACACTGGGAATTCATTAGATGTGAAGTCAAATTCTGGCTCTGACACTTAATTGATCTATGATCTTGAGTAAATCTCAGCTTCCGTGATCCTCAGTTTCATTAGCTATAAAATAAGAATGCTACAACCCTCACAGGTATTTTTGTGAGGATAAGATAATTTACATGAAAATATAAATTTATAAAGACAATGCAAATATAGAGTATTATTACTGTAAGCCAGTTTGTAGCTACTATCATAACTTGAGTTTATTTTAGGATACATGACTGAAAAATTAGTTGGCAGTATGCCAGTACTGGGCTCTTAATAACTGCATAGAATACTTAACTAAATTTCTAACAGCATGTCTTGCTATCATAATGCAACAAACTTCAGGGCAAGGATGATGTAATACTTCTTTATAATAAACCCTTATGACACTGAACTTGGTGTCTAACTCACAAATTAGCTGTTAAATGAATACTTAAGAGAACAAAGATAAAATCTACTAGGTAATTCCTTTTTTCATACACCAACAAGATGCAAATGTACCTGGCTGGAATAGCCAACAACAACAAAAACAAGAAGCTTATCTATCTGGATAAGGGGCAATGCTAAGTAAACTCAGTGAAGAGTTGTTTTATAGTGTTCATTTCATGGAATAAGAAATATGAAAAAGAAGCAGAAGCTTTAAGTTCCATTCATTCTGTCAGTCGGCAATATTTACTGTGTACCTATTTAAAGTCAGGCACTGTTTTAGGCACTGTAGATGCAATAAGCACAAAATAAACACCTTCTTGGAATTTATATACTAATAGGGGGAAGTGGACATTGGGAAGAAAAATAAGTAAAACAGAATATGTTATACAGTGGTTAAGCGCTATGAGGAAAACCAGGAAAAGAAATACAGAGTAATAGTGGGAGGTGCTACTTGCTACTTTAACAGCTTTATTGAGATGTAACTCAAATACCAGACATTTCATTCTTTTAAACTATAAAGTTCAATGGCTTTTGATATATGCAGGCCTGTACAACCATTACCATAAACAATTTTAGAACATTTTCATCACTCCATAAGAAAGCAGTCACATTCCATTCCTCCCTTCAGCTTCAGGCAACCACATTCTGTCTCTTTGGATATCTATTCGGCAGTTGATATAAATGGAATCATACAAGATGTGGTCCTCTGTGACTGACTTCTTTCACGTAGCACAATGTTTTCAGGGTTCATCCATGTTGCAGCATGTATCAATACTTCATTCCTTTTAATTGACTAGTAAGGTATCATTGTATAGATATTTGGCTATCCATTTATTGATGGGCTTTGGGTTGTTTTCACAACTAATGACTTGACTATTATGAATAAAGCTGCTATGAACATTCATGTACAAGTTTTTGTGTGGACAGTTTCATTTCTTTTGGGTATAGAACTAGGAGTGGAATTGCTGTGTCATACAGTAACTTTATGCCTTTTGAGGAACTGCCAGACGGTTTCCAAAGCAATTACATGACTTTACATTCCCCACCAGAAGTGTATGAGGATTCCAATTTCTCCACATTCTTCCCAACACTTCTTATTTTCTTTTTAAAAATTATTATATCCATGTTAGTGGGTGTAAAGTGGTATCTCCTTGAGGCTTTGATTTTACATTCTTCTGATGGCTAATGATGCTGAGCATGTTTTCATGTGCTTTTTTGCACATTTGCATAGCTTTTTTTGAGAAATACCTATTCAGATCCTTTGCCCTTTAAAATATTGGGTTGTCTTTTTAGGCTGGGTTATAAGAGCTCTTTATATATTGTAGACATAAGTTCCTTATAGGATAGATGATATCAAAATTTTCTCCTAGTTTGTGGGCTGTCTCTTCACTTTCTTAACGGCGTCCTTTGAAGAACAAAAGTTTTAAATTTTGATGATGTCCATTTCATCTATATTTTCTTTTATCACTTTTGTTTCTGGTATTAAATCTAAGAAACCTAATCCAAGGTCATGAAGATGCACCTCTGTTTTAAGAATCTTTTAAGGTTTTTAGCTCTTAAACCTAGATATTTGATGCATTTTGAGTTAGTTTTTATATACAATACGAAGGAGTATTCCAAGTGCATTCTCTTGCATTTGGACATCCAATTTTTCCAGCACCATTTGCTGAAAAGAATATTCTTTCCCCATTGAATTTTCTTGGCACCCTTGTCAAAAGCCAAATGAACATAAACGTGAGGGCTTATTTCTAAACTCTTCAATTTTTATTCCTTTGAGGTAGACTCTACTCAATATAGGGTGGTAGGAAAAGGTTTCTCTGAGGAGGTGATTAAGCAGAGTCCTGTATGAAGTGAGGAACTGAAGCATACTAGTAGTAACTGGGGGGAAGCATTCCAGATAATAGGATTGGCAAGTGCAAAGACCCTGAGATGGGAGTGTTCTTGGTGTGTCTGAGGAATAGCAAGGCCAGAGTGGCTGGAGTGGAGTGAGCAAGGATGGCAGATGAATTCAAAGAGATAAGGGAGGAGAGCTGGCCTACCATGCAGAGCTATAAGAACTTTGTCTTTTACCCTATGTGAGATGGGAAGTCTCTGGAGGCTTCAGAGTAGAGACATGATTTGACTTTCTAAAAGATTTACTTTGGCTACTGTATCTAGACTATAGGGGAGAAAGATTGTAAAGGAGACTATCTGGAAAGTTATTGTAATAGTTGAGACAAGAAATGACAATCAAAGTAGGGTTTAGTGGTGGGGGTGGTGAGAAATGGTAGGATGCTGGATATTTAAGGTATAGATGTGAAATAAAAAGTCTAGGTGACAGTTTTTTTTTTTTGCCTGAACAACTAGAATGATAAAGTTACCATTTATTAACATGTGGAAGATTGCAGGAGGAGGAAGTGTGGAAGTCTACGTGGGGGAATCAGAAACTCAATTTCCAGTATGTTAAGTCTGAAGTATCTACTAGACAATGAAATATAAATAGGAAATTAGATATGCAGATCTGGAATAAGGGGAGAGATCTGTTAGTTCTTAGTGTTGAAGCCTTGAGAAACTAAACTTTTCTGTGAATCCTATTACACAATAGAGTTTCTAGGTGTTTAAAACTTTGTAGTCTTTTACACATATGCCATTAAGGCACATAATTCTCTGTTTCTTAAGACAGTCTGGTACCAGCAACTGAGGTGATTCCAGCTCCAACAGAGTAACTTCAAGTTGTTGTAGTTAAAATGCTAGTTGTTGTATCTTAGGAGTGAGTGGGCAGTCTACCATGATGAGCACTGCCTTTCCTGGCCTCTTGCCCCTGGTGCCCTCTCCATGCTCTTAGCTGAGTGTTCCATGGGGCTAGAAACATTTACTTTGAAAAAAATCAGCATTCAAATAAGGCCCACTGTCACATCAAGGATGGCAACAGGTGTGCAAATTACCCACTCCTGACCTGCGGAGGTAGTAACAATAAATAACAGTACAGGGCTTTTTCAATGCCCTGTAATTGGAATGAGTCATTTAAATCCTTTAACGAAGATCCATTAATTTGGTGGTGGTGGTGTAGGGGGTCATTCACACCCAACTTCTCACATTTTTCTATTGAACATAATCTTGTAAAGACTTGACCTGCTGTACAGTCTCCTAAGTTATTTCTGAATCCTTGCATTCCCTCCAACATTCAACAATCCTAACTTAATCCACAAATATGCATAATTGCTATCTCATTAATAAATATAGCTAACAAGATTAGTTCTAGGCAAAGTTTTGTGACAGTTCTAAATTCCTGCTTCAGGTTTGACACTAAACCATTCATTGGCTCCTTTGGCCTGTAGTCATTTAACTGGATATGACTTCATTTAATTACAGCATTATCTAGCCCACATTTACCAAACTTTTCTGAACTAGTACTGGCTTACAGTGATCACTGACTTCCAATTAATATTCTACTCCAAAATTTTTTAGTTTAAAACATTAGCCTTCTTTATTGAAAACCAGAACATTTGATAAAGTAACTGATCTTTTAATTTTTAGTATCTTTTTGCTTTATATTAATAGAATCTGGCATCAAGAAAACTTAGTTTATGTATTCTATGTAAAAAGAGGTACAGTTTTTAAACTTATTTAAATTTTATACCATACAATTCACATTTCAACTTTGGGAACTTGAAATTTCATATACTTAAATGAACATTATTATGCTCCAGTGTTATTACCATAAAGTATTTTAGAATGTGCACACTTTTCTTTCCCAATATACTGGTGATCTTTTAGACAAAAGAAACACACTAAAATAAAACTAGTACAGAAGTAGGCTGCTTTGAAAAATAGAAATGATAATTTTTAATTATTATGGTATAAAATTAAAACATCAACACTGTAATACACAGATTGTATTCGTGGTAACCATCAAGGTTAATGGTTTACCCTTCACATACAAAATATGAACCATTAGAAGCACATTAAAAAACAAGACAAGAAAAACTACATAAATAGAAGACAGATTACATATATAAAGTATTTTAAAATCTTACCTCCTCACAGCATCGCCTGCTTACAATAGCCCTATAGTCAATTCTATCCCAGAGTTGGTCCCTTAACTTTAAGAAATCAGGGAACAATTTTCTCCAGTTTATCCCTAAAGCCCATGGAAAAATTTCATATTTGGCTTCTTCTTCATCTTCTTCAACTGTATTAGCCAGATACCTAACAAAGAAGACCAACAACTCAAAGAAGAAATGGATAAAGACAGGAATAGACAGTTCACACACATACACACACAAAAAACCAAACTGCTTCTTAAACACATAAAAGATGTTCAACCTTACTCATAATTTTAAAAATGTAGCTCAAAATAGAGATTCAGTGAATTTTACTTCGTTGAGTTCTGGATATTTTTGATTCCCTATAAATCTTGAGCTTTGTCCTAGAATGCAGTTATTTGGAAACAATCTGATCCTTTCAGGTCCCGCTTTCATGATCTGTTAGGTGGATCCGCAGCGATGTTCAGTCTGGGGCTAATTACTCCTTACTAAGGCAAGACATTCCTAAGTACTCTACTCAGTACTTGAATTACTCAGTGTGAACTGTAAGTTTTTTCAGTCTGGCTAGTGGAAACAGGCACTATTTCCAGCCCTGGGTAAATGTTAGGCACTGTTCCCTCTAATCTTTTCTGGTGGTCTTTCCCCACATTCAAATACCTGAGGGTGATCAGGCATGCACAAAAGCAGAAAAACACAGTAATAAGAATTATCAATTAAATAAAACTGACACACATGGTAGAAGTAACAGACAGTTATTATTATTAAAACAGTTATAATTATTCCAGATGTTCAAAAAAATAGACACATTGAAAGTGTACCTCGAGATAAAGCCTATGTGTATAATGAAAAATACAGAGTGAGATTAATGGAGAAGAAAAGATTTGTGAATTGAAGACAGCAATATGACTTGTGATCTTGGAAAGTACTTAAGATTCCTAAGTCTCAATTTCCCTATTTGTAAAATGGAGATAATTCAAAATTGTATCTCATAGGGAAGATTAAATGAGTTTACAGAAAACAGCTTTGTGGTACCTTGCACATATTGCTCAATATTAGCTAATACTATTATATCCCCTCAATTTAGCAATCACCAAATTTTATACTGTTCATTTTTTCCTATGCATGGGGGAAATGTGTCTCCTGAATATGTGCAGAGATCAGTTTCTTCTAGTCCTATTTCTTGAATCACTCTTTGATTCTGATTAAACAGATTTTGAATAAAAAGTTATTCTTCAGTGCTAACAGTTGTTGCAGTATTCAACTTAAATATTTTCATATGTAGTTCCCTAATTAAGTACCTAAAAATACATGCATATATTCCAAACTGCAGCATTACATTCAGGTACTGGGTAGAAAAGGTTTTGAGATTGAGGTAGATATTCTTTTTTATTTTGAGATAGATATTCTTAAATTATAATGATTCTAGCAGAATTCTGACCTACAGATTGGAAAGCCATGTCATTAAAACCATTTAACAGATCACAAGCTAGTGTGAATTGTCTTATATAAAGTCAATGAAAGAATTGGTAAACAAACTCTATTCCTTGGTCAAAGTTCAGTGTGTTAAGTAAAACAGTCAATGGATACTAAAGGTATCAGATATAAATTACTCCTGTTACAGACATAAATCCACAATGAGTATGTATAGAGCACTTTCCACAAGCTGTTCAATGTAAAAGGACGATAATGATAATGATTTTTAATATGTAACAACTGGAAATTTCGAAGAGAATATTCTGGCTCTTAAAAAACCCTAAGTCCAAAAGAAGAGAATCTGGAATAATTTTTATGGAGCACTCTGAAAAATGTAAAAGGTACAATACAAACTCAAGTGGAATACGGAGTAATAAATAGGTATTAGGCATACAGCAGGTGAGGTCAGTGAAAAAAACATGAAAATATCCTATTGAAGTAAAAAAAAATATATATGTATATGTATCGTTTTTAAACAGGAAAGCCTATTCGAAGATAGACATCAGGTTTTAAACAGCATCTATTTAAAATAAGGTATCACATATATTATAAATATCACAAAAAATCACTTCGTAGAAAGCATACTTACAGAGCAATAAAGAAATTTATCCTGGTATGCTCACTTATAGTGAATTTAGCTCTCTTGAAATAAACAAAGGTCATAGCCAAAAGATACTACAGGGAAAAAAGTTAAAAGTTAATATTAATGTTTTACTTTCATAAGTAAAACTGCTTTAAAATATTTACCTTTATAAGCTAAAACAATAAAGCATTATTTATCATTCCTCTAGAATTACCTATTTATTTGAGTCTTTACTTTTGGCTTTATGTAATCCATATAAACAATAAGAAACAGTTTAGGATCATTTATCATGATTAAGATTACAACTAGAATGAACTCCAAAATTTTATTATTGCCAATATATTTTGAACCACAACCCATTTTTTTCTATCTGTTCAAACCTACAGAGAAGTTAAAATAATAATAAAAGGAATAATCAACCATATATCCTTCACCTAGATTTTACCGTTATTCCATTGCCACATTGGCTTGATGTATGTCTATATGCAAATTATTTTCCTTCAACACTTTTGAGTTAGTTGTAGACATCCATATTCACTTTTTAAAATAATCTTTTAAAAATAATTTCTAAACAGAAATCAGAATATGGCTCTATTTTCATGGGGAAAAATATTTTAAATAATAATTAGGAAGATACATGTGTAGCCTGATACTAGGACCCCTGCCAAGTTCTGCCTGTTTAAGTTAAAATCAAGTTATAATACTGATGTATTGGATTCCCTCTCATAAAATGCCTAATCCTACCTTCACAGGTTTGGCCACAAAGGTGATTCCAAGTTTTCAAGGTAATTTTTAGTAGAGGACTCTTGAGATAATGTTGATACAGTATTCCTGGGTTAAAGGCACTGCCTCCTGCTGTCCAACAAATCTAATTACCATAATGCACTAAAAATTCTAAAGTTTAAAACTACAACTCTTTAGGAACTGGATATTTGATATGAAGGCATTACTGTTAATTTTTTTTCACAATCACAGCCAAAGCATTACTGTTAATTTTTAAGTGTTAGTGACACTGTGATATTTAAAAGATTTCATCGTTTAGAGCTACATCTTAAACTATTTGTGGATAAAATATTGGGATATCTGGGATATACTTCAAAATAATCCAGTTTTGGGGAGACGGATTAGAGGAAATAAGAATGGCCATAAGTGGATGATTGTTTTAGCTGGATAATAAGCACATGGAGGGTCTTTGTTCTATTCTCTCTACTATAAGTAGCATTGTTTGAAATTTTCCAAAATTAAAATTTCAAAATTAAAAAAAACTGATTTTATTTTGGTTCTCTTAAGCTTAAAATAAAAGAGTCCATCAGTATTAACTTAGTGGGTTATTTAACCCTGAGCTAGTGTTCTGTCCATTCTCTTTTTTATTGGTTAGCACATTATTTTAAATGTGATATGAAGTCATGCTGAATTTTCTGATATGACTAACTGGTCTAAAATGACATTTATAAAGCTGAAATTGTAACTGTTCAGCTAAATCTAAAGAGTACAGAAACATCACAATCCTCAGTATGTCAAGTTAGTTTCATATGTTCTTTTAGGAAATATTGATTCCTAAATAAAAAACATGATAAACTAATGTTACTTTGTAAGAATATTGGGAATTGTTTTATCTAAATTACCTACAAAATGTGTTAACAGACTGCCTTAGGTAACAGACTGGCTTAGTAGAATAAATCTCAGACTATTTTTTCTCCATAGACTGATAAAAGGTATTGAATCTATGCTGTATTCTAATTTCAAAAATTAATGTGTAAGGATTCCACTCTGAAGTAGAAATGTAGGCTAGTTCATTTTCTAAACTTAACAAGACAGAGGGGAGGGTATAGCTCGGTAGTAGAGTATGGGCTTAGCATGCACGTGGTCCTGGGCTCAATCCCTAGTGCCTCCATTAAAATAAATAAATAAACCTAACTACCCCCCCCCTCAAAAAAACCCCAATGACATAAACTTAAAAAGACAGAAAATTCTTATAAGGGTCTTTAAAGTCCTGACAGCCTAGTAACATAATAATGCTGGTTAATGATGATACTGTAACCAAATTTACCTTGTCTGCAATTTTACAGCAGCAGTCCATCCATAAGAAATCTTGAATTAAATCATCATCTACAACAAAAGATAGCTATGACTTGTCTTTCAAAAACAGAATGTTTCCTATTGAAAAATTATTTTTTACATAAGATTATAAATGATGCTCAGAAATCAAACAAAAATGCCTAGACCAGTGTTGTTTAAGGTATAATTTTCAGTTCTTTGGTGTGTTTACCATTACAAGCACTGTACAAAAAGCTATTGCTTTATTCTTTGGCTTTGCATCTGATTTGCCTTAATATATAGTGCAGACTGGAGGGGGAATGGTGGTAGTGTTTGATTTATTGAATATTCCAGTAGTTCTTTGAGAAATACGTCTTGGATAGCTCTCGTTTAGCTCTTTCTTACTTCCCCAAATCAATCTTTAACAGGAGGAAATGGAATCTGATAAAAGATAACCCAGTCTTTAAGAAATAATGACTTAATGAATACTCGTTATCTAAATATGTTCTACTTTTTCTACTACTTTCTCCTTTTAGGTATGGGGCATTTTTAGTTTTGAGTTCTTTTTCTCTCCTCCTACTTATCTCTGTTCAATTATCTATTATCCAAATACACATGAAAATGTCTATGTAAAGAAGGTTCATAATTCATCGGTTATTTATAATTAATATTTAATTTTGGAAAAATTGAGTATTATGATAAAAGGGTCAATTAGAGATACTGTTAAAAAAGATCAACATCCAAAAAGCAGGTCAAAAACACTTATTTCAATTTTAAAAGGCTAAAATGTATACTCCCAAAATACATGTGTAGCTATCAGAATATAATTTTAGAAAATCTACTTTTTTTCCATTTCCTCCTTCATTTTAAGTAACAAAGCATAATTTCTTAATATTGTTGTAGCCTAGATATATCATCAGTGTAGTCAAATATACGGAAAGTTCCAAGAATGAGTATTTATTTTCTGAGAATAATTAATTTCTGCCTTGTAAATTCTACTTCTATTTCTTAAATTACCTAAAATGGTAGGGCCAGGTATTTTCTCTTATTTCTCATGATCAGTTATGAATAATAAAAAAGTTTGTGGGTAATATTTTTGCTCTACTCTTAATAAAGAGAGAGGCAAACTTGTATTAACAGCATTCTAAATTTTGACAGGGAACATCTTCAGAGTTCAACTTTTTCTACTTATTTTTTTATTGCTTATATTTTTCTTATTATCTCATCTTATTTTGCTTTTCTTTAAATTTTAACCAGCTTGCCCCCCCCCTTTTTTTTTTTTAAGATTTCTGTCCTCTCAGCAGGGTAAACACTCTTCCCCAGTTCTCCTCATAGGCACTTGCTTTCCTCTATAAACATGGAAGCCTGTTACCAGAATCTGTCATTGTAATCTCTACAGTACTTGATTTGATTCATTCCCACAGATATTTACCAGAATCTATCTATCCTACCTTTTATTCTAATCTGTATACCTTATTCCATATTTCAAAAAAAATCCTTCTCTTTCTTGGACAGTAGAAGTACTATAAAGAAATTTCTTTTGGCTATTTTTTAAGAAGCTTATCAGCAAAGCAACACTGTTTCATGATCTGAACAAGCTGAAACTCAGTTTCACATTATTAGCATGATGATAAAGCATAGTTAATTTTTAATAATATTCTCCAGATATAATACTGAAACTTTTCTAGGTGGACTAACCTTCCCAGTTTGCTCAGTTTTAGCACTGAAAGTCTTGGGAAGTCCTTCCTGTGCAGTGATACCAGGTCAGTTGGTTGGCTCACCCAAGACATTATATATATTTTACTTTAGGTCAAACAAAACTCATGCTATGAAAGTGAATTGCCTAGAATTTACATTTGACACTTGAATTTAAGTAGTCTAGAAGCTAGATGAGTCTATTTCTAATCCAAAAGCAATCAAAATAAACAAAAACCCAGAATTGGGGGGGGAGGACTAAGTAAAACAAAAGCAAATTTGGTTGGAGATAGAAAATCTGACATAGAAAATAACAGCATCCTCTTTGATTATTATGAAAACCATAAAACAGGTCCTTACATTCTCTCATTTTAAGTACTTTACAATTACCACTATTACTATATTTTAAACCTACCAAATAATTTAAAGAAAGCAGTCATTTCTTGACGCTGTATAACTAGACAGGGTCCTTTGGGGCGTTTAGACTTGTTGCTATTATATGCATTTTTTTCAGATGTTGGCCAACTATCTTTAAAAATAGGACGCTTCAGATTAATGGGTTTTTTAGCCTGATGTGATCTATTTGACCCTGATTTTACATGTACAGTGACAGTAGGTGGTGTCTCACAACACAGCTGATTATGCCTCATTCTGTTTTCCCACGATTCCTGTAAAAATAAAATGTATAGTTATTTACCACACTCTTGTTCATTTCTACATAAAAACAACTCATTGGATGACACTGTCAGATGCAGTCATATGAAATGTTACTAAACTTGCTACTAAAATGTTACTTGTGACAGTGACTCACATAGGAAATTGCTTTTAGAATTTAGTGCTAAGAAAAGCTAAGCTTCCTTTGGGTAACTGATATACCACCGCTTCCCAAATAATAAGATCCTGTATACCATTTTGCTTTGACTACTAGGGAACTCAAAACCAAATTTGAAAGTTAATTATAGAAACTATGCTGAGTTTATAATCTATTTGTGGTATTCTTTTTTCCTGGTAATTTAAAAATTCTGCGTGTATTGACATAATTTTATCATATGATTCTAAGACATCACCTCAAATTTTTTATAGAACAAGGCAAACTATTTCCAGAACTAAAATTATTATCAAGTATTATATTAAAAAGCAATTTCACACACACAAAAATATTTCCTAACCGGTAAATTTCTTGATATGTTACAAAACTCACTGATTCCACAAGCATTTATTGCTATTCATTGAAAAGTTAAAAGTGATTCTAGAGAAGAAATGCATGGCATATGTGCATTGAGGGATTCTCATAAATTGATCACTTTAATTTTTTAATCATTTTAATTTTTAAAGTTGTGAGTGTATAACCATACTATTTAAGTGTAATTACCAGTGTAAATGAATGTAAACTGTTATAATCTAATAAAAATTTTTAAAAAGTTAATCCATCAATATTTAACAATATGTACAATCACTACCATGTTTGGTGATTAGTTCACATGATTACTAGTCAGTATTAGTTTTATGGTCAAAGTATTTA